CTCGTGCAGAGAGTGTAGAGAGATTTAGAGACATGTAAGGCACGAACAGGTTTGGGAGCGCGACACCTACTGGTAGCATCAGCAGACCCTTCGCTCATACTCTCGGCCAGCCGAGCGAGTGGACGACATAGCTCAGCTCCAGTGCGCATTTCCTTCTCAGGTCCACTGAACTTTCGCCTTTGCGGTTTGGATTCAGATGGTGACACGGTCCGATGCCCGGGACAGAACGGGGTCACTACAACAAGTCCCTGAACCGCTCCAGTTGTGATGAGGTTCTCTTCGCCAAAGTGCGGCCGGAGGACGAGGCCAGCCTACGCTTCCTGCACAGGCGGATCGAGGAGCGGATGCTCGAGGGTGAAGGCGCCCGCCTGAATGCAAGCCGTATCGGGCAGACAGAATACAGCATGCTGAGCCTTGGCAGGGGCAGTTCCGGCGACCACCTCACCCTCACATGTCGCCGAGCCTGAGCAGGTTCAGAATCACCAGGAGCTGCCCAGATATTGTCGCCTTGCCAAACGCTTACGCCCGGCAAACCCTCAAGGTAATGTGTTGCGGGAAAGGTGTCCTTTGCATGTTTGGTGCAGGCATTTGTTTATTCTTGAGCAGCTTTGTTGTTGAAGTTGCGCGGAGCTTCCGAATCGAGGAGAAGATCACCACGTCGTCCAACGAGAAGCTCAGCCGGTACCTAACGTCGATTGCTTAGTGCAGCCCATGGTGAGGACCGTCTTGTTTCAAACGTGCTTGAGCTGCAAACCACCCCTTGGGCAGAACGGTACTCCATGCTGCACAGCACAACGAACTGGATCGAAGAAAATGCATTCTCATCGCATCCACTTTCCATGTCCCTTCGTCTTTCTTGCTTTCAATGCGTCTTTGCTGGGCTCCCAGGCGCGTCCTGCGTCATGATGCCGTGCGGCTCGGGCTCGCGCTGCGCAGTGATGGATCCGTGGGGCTGCAGGACCGTGCAACCTGAAGATGCATTTTTTGAGTAATTTCAAGGGGGCTCAATGCCGGAACCGAACGAGCAGGGCTCCTGGACCCGAGATCGAATTGGTTGGCTTTCATGCCAGGAATTGCTTGCTTTGCCTTTCTTCAAGTCAAACGGCTTTTTGGAGCAACTTGCCTCAAATGTTAGGTGGGGCCTGTTCATGGTTGCGTAACTTCCGCTTGCGGGCTTACGGGTACTGGACCATGAGGGGTGGGGTGGGGGAGTGTAGCGGGCAATTGTTCATGCGGAACAACAGAATACCCAAACGACTTCCAGATGGTTCCGTAGTGCACCCACCTGCCTACCAAGGAAAGATGTGGAGGCGGAAGTTCGCTGCAACAACAAGCAGCGCTTCGAGCTGTGGACAGAAGATGGTGCTGGACGCATTCGTGCGAGCCAGGGCCACAAGATGAAGGAGGCGCGGCATCTCAGACAAGGGTCACACGATTGCATCCGCCCGAAAAGAAGCGAGTTTCATGTCACGTTGGTTTGAGGAAACATGCACGGAACTTGGAATTTTGGTGTGTTTATGACAACTTTGACGTTAAGGTGGTGGACTCGGAGTTGCTGCAGCCCGTCCAGCGTGCGGAAGATCTTCCCGTCTGTATCTTGCAGCAAAGCCATGGTTGCACTGTCTCTCGGATCCCTTCCGTAGTCCATGATCGGGGAGCTTGTGGATGACCCCTGAGTTCTTGGATGCGGCGGCCCGTGAGAAGTGAGGTATCCATGGGACCTACTTCACGAAGTGGAGCCCGAAGAAGAAATGCCAGGTGCAAGTCTGGAGCCAAATCAAGCAGGAGGGGCTGAAGCCGATGGGACGAAACCACATACACTTCGTGCCCCACGAGGCCTGGCATTCGGGGGACATAGAGCGAACATGAGCGAACCTTACGATGCTGAAGGGACTGCCGAAGGGACGGAGAGACAGCAAATGGATTCTGTCTCTTTCGACCCGCTTCTGAGTGACAATCTTGTGTGAGATTGACGGGGAGACATCCAATGGTAGTGCATGGCGGCTTGGATACGTCGAGTTTTTGAGAGAAAGGTTATCACCACACAACAACGACTCGATACACACTTAGCTTGCAAAACCCATGGGCCTATTCCACGCTGGTCTCGAAAAGAATCCTCAACAGTAGCTTGTCCTTCGCTCCCACAGACCAGCCATTCTTGGAGAACAGGCTAGATGCACTCCCAAGAGAACGACAACAAGACCAAAACAAAGCGGGACGCGAGAGAGACGCGACGGCTCCGTTCTGGCATTCTTGAGAGGTTGGCTCCCGCACGGTCATCAGCGGAATGCGAGAAGGCAGAACGGGTCCGACAGGCTAGTCCTGTGCAGGGCACTCGTGTAGTGTTCTATAGGGTTCTATGTTATAGCATACTTAGATACTGGGGCCCCTTGGCACAAATGAAAATCGTTTCGGCCCAGACTGTGCCGTGGCCATCTACCTGGACGTGCCAAAGGCGCTCGAGCAGGGAATCAAGCTGTACCGCTCCGCCAACGATGTGGTCGCTCGATGTTGAATTTCAGCTGAGGTTAACAATGCGAAAAAACGACTATTTCCTTGAGTGGATAAGACATGCCCCCTTGTGTTTGCAGGGCCTTCATGACTCATGTAGCTGCGCCTCTGTGCCATACACACATCTTCAGTTGCAGTCCAGTTGCCTGTTGTTTAGGGGCTTGTTAGATTTGTTCGGAAAAGCTTTGCCACTCTGCATGTGTCAGAGCCGCCCCGTGCGCTCAGATTCTTACCCGTGGGGATGAGTCTGGTAGAATACCTCCGGCTTTATTCCAACGTGTGGTGGAGATCAAGAGTGGCCGGTGCCTTTGGCTCCTCGGAGGCACGTGGGTTACTAGTAGGGTTTCGGGTTTTGGCGTTGCCGGTCGTCATGGCAGCTTAGGCCAGTTGAAGAGCCCTGCGCCGACACGACCGACAGCGAGACGGCCGAGGAGGCCTTGCCTTGCACCTAATCTCGACCCCACTTCAGGCTCAGCCTTGAAGCACGGAAGGGCAGCGGTTTATAGGACAGGTTTGGAAAAACAGTGAAGTCTGAAACCATTCCTGAGCCTGTGTCGGGCCACATGCTAGCATGCACCGTCTGATGCGGTGTTGTTTTTGCTCACATTGACATACAATTTGCGAAGCGCGGCTTCAGCCCATTTTGCGAGAGATGAGTGCCGAGAGCAGCAAACCCCTTGGGCCCTTGAGTGAGGTCGGGCGGGGCTCTTCAGCAGCACTTTCAGAAACTTCAGTTCGCGCAACTTGGTGTCACACAGCTGCACAGCCGGCTCGCTGCTGGTTTAGATCAGGCTTCCATCCGCACGTGAAGCTGGCAAAGACCAGCAGAGCTCACGGCAAAGCGCGGATTCCGAAAGCATGTTGGCAGGCCAGACATGGCTTGTAGCAGGGCTGGCAGAGGGCCGAGAGTCTTGAAGCCGCCGCTGAACGCACAGCCCGCATCGTGCAGGACTTCCGAGACACCGACCTTGGACCAGTGGTTGTGGATCGTTTGGAGCTCTGTCGGATGAAGGCTGATGGAGGAGGTGCCAAATCGCTCGAACATGCCGAAACAGAACGAACAAGAAGACAGAGAGAGAAAGAGAGCCCTCTGTGCATAAGTGTGTGGCGGGTGCACTGGACCGTGCACCCTTTCAAGCCCAGTTGAGTAGAGACGGAGGGAGAGCGAGCTTCTCGATTTGTGGACAACATAGACTGAGTAAGTCATCACTGGACAGGCTACTACCAGATTGAAGCTTCGGTCCCACTTGATCACGGAAGTTCATAGTTGACTCTATTGCATGGTCTTGCCAACAGAGCAGACCTGGCCAAGAGCGATGCTCAAAGATTTTAGCATTCTCGGCCGTTTGGTTCCCCTCAAATTTTCCAAGAACGGCCGAAGCGCGGCCGAGGAAAAGGAACTCCTGTGGGAAGGACTTCACGAGAGGCAGTGCTCAGGACTCTTCGGAGAGTGGATCATTTATCACGGCCACTCCGGGCACTGCGTGTAACCAGACTTGGTCTTGCTGCTTCCAAGGTCATCGAGGCTGCCGTGCACCTTCTCCTGAGAGTTCGCGACAGCCTCGGTGACAACGGGGCAATCTGAGGAGCAACGGTCGCCAGCCTTGCCGTGAACAGACTTGCTTGGCAGTCGAATGCTGCATCGACTTGCGGTTTCCACGGCCCACGTAATTTGTGAAGATTTATCGGGAGAGGAGGGGCGGGGTGTTGTAATTTTTTTTTTTGCGAACCGCAAGAGCCCGAGTCATCGAGCTTGTCTGGCTTGATCCGAGAGAAGATGCACCTGAGAACAAGCAAAGCACATCGTGACTAATCTTCAAGTCATTGGTTACACTGGATTTTTTACGTATTGTGGCCCTCCTTTGGCCTTTTGATTGCAAGGACTCGGAGGGCCGCTGATCTTGTGTTCGTTTCCTTGCTTTCCAGGTCAGCCTTTCGCTGGAAGACATCTGAGGAGGAGGCTCAAGGCAATAAGTACAGGAGACCGGGCCAGGCTGCATTAACAGTGCGGACGCTTGCATAGCTTGGAGTCGATGCAACTCAAGTTTAGCGTGGCACGGGATCCTCATTGTCTCACCTCCTGCAAACGAGAATGCTTTGTTACAGCCTCACTTTGCAAATCGTTAAAAACTCGATCTGGCATCCCTGCTTCGGCAGCATTAGGCCAGCAGTGTCTGCGAACTTAAAGACAGCCCAGGCTTCTAGCATTGTCCATTGTTGCAGGCCGGAGCGCTCGTCTTGGCTGGCGTGTTCTTAGGCGAATGGTGCAGTAGTTACTCCGGAATAGTTTGCACCAGCTACACCGACTGGACGACTGGAGCTTGCAGTTCCATGCTCAGCTTGCAAAGCTGCATGTCGAAGGCTCAAGCTCGACATCTTCTTCAAAGCAGCAATATCGCGCAATGTCGAACGCACTTTCGGTATGTTTACAAGTTCACAGAACCCCTCTAATTCAGCGAGCTCGATGCGCCGGCCTGTGTCCTGGCCCCATGGCCGTCACTGTCGAGGTGGTGGCAGTCAGCGGCAAAATTCTGTTCGCGCTTTGTCCTGCAGGATGTGTTTGCATCTGCGCGCTATTGATCGCTATTGTAACTGTTTGTGACACTCTGCTGGGGAGGCTGGCTTGGCCCGAGGGTTCAACCATGCAGTGAGTGTGCGATGCAATTACTCTTCAGTCTTTTTGAGCACTGAGTCGGGACAGAGTCCCAACAACCTTGAGTCTAATCTCATCTTTTGGTTGTGACATGCTTATCTTGCCCCCGTGCTCGGAAATGGCGGAGAGCAGTGGGGTCCTGAAACAGCATCACGGCTGGCTCAGATCCTCTAAGTCACTAGGTGCGGCCGGAGTTGGGGAGCGACCTCGGGTGTTTAAGGCTGGCTCGTTGCCGGGATGCTTTACCGTGAGGGAGCTCAAAGCGAAGTTGGGACAAGTCGAGGACTGCATTCCCGGAAGTGTTCCAGTGTGCGAAACAGGTGATGCAGTTGTCTTCGTGGTTGTCGCTTGCCCTTTGGCCAGTGGCTAGTGATGAAAGGTCGGCAGCAGGGCATGCTTCAGGCAGGCTTGGCTGCTGATCCGGGTTCACACCACGCAGTAGATAGTCTCTATGTGACTGGCTTTTTGTTACCTTTTCCACGGCATTTTAAGTTCGTGTTCCTGCAGTTTCGCTTATGAACCTTATGGGCGCTGTGGTTTCACATCTTTGGGAACCCAGTGAAGACCACAGTCGGCCAACGGGCCGTTTTCAGGGGGGAGTACCAGATCAGGTGCCTTGCGTGTGCAATCAGCCCACCTGCGAAATATCAGACTGGAACACGACATTACGCAGCATGGAGCCTGCATGGACCTTCCATATACTTCTTTTGCAGATGCAATAACCCCGGCAAGCTGGACGCATGGACTGCATGGAAAGCTCCCACAAAGCACGGCTTAAAGAGGGGAAAACCAACGAAGGGCTTTGACTGGAGAGTGCCGGGCCAGTGCTGCAGTCGGCCCAGAGCACGGGTGGCTGCAGGAGCAGCGGCTGCTTCACGGGGCGCGGGCTCCGGATGATGCCGAGCTACTGCAAGAATTGGCATCCGATGAGGCGCGCCCAACCCTGAAACCCCAGATACTGGCACTTGGTGCTTCAAGGCGTCTGATAAACAGGTACTGATACCGTGCTCAGACCATTCCTATAGGGCATTGCACAGGTCCTGCTGCAAAAAGGGTACATATCTATATATATATATATAGATATTATACATTATACCGCTTCTATCACAGCTGTCCTGTGTACACGCTTAACCGGTAATCGGCTAAGTCATCTTCAGCCAAAGGCCTAAGCTGTCTCTATGAAAGTCTGCAGGCTCAAGAGCGCCTCGGCATGTCGATACCTAGTAGGGCATGCAAGCTCCTGTGTGGTTCAGGCTCTTCGTCTGGTTTGTGTTCGAACTCTTCGGCGTCTAGCTGTCAGCGGCGGAAGTGACCGAGGGCTTTCCGGCAGCATTTCTGCACATTTGCACACGTCGTGAAGACTACTGTTGTCTCGTCGTCGGCGGACTAGCCTGGAAAGCCCGGACATTGCAAACGAACACGTCAGAATTACAAATGAAACACACAGAACAAACGGAAACAAGGAAAGCGTCAAGCCGATGGTAACAAACAGAAAGAATGAAAACACTCTAGGTTGAGTTCTGCTTTGCCATGGCTTGCCGTGTTTTGCAAGTACGATAGCTACCAACGTTTTAGAAGACTTGGGCAGGCTCCGCCTTTGGGATTTGGACCGTGGTCAGGCTGATTGCGACTTGGTGGGGCACACGTTCCTCAATAGCACTTCAGCATGCAGCTGCAGCCGCCTGAAGCCATGCTATGCTACCCTGTCATCCCTTCTCCTCCTAGGTCCGCTATCCTGTGCATATCGGTGCATTGGCCTTCGCAGAGGGCACTCACTGGCAGCAGGGACCGCTCCGTACAGTGCCTTGGTCAGAAACCAGTCAGCCTGTTCGGCTCCCACCGCAACCTTGTACGCGCTTAGTGTCTATCATTGCAATAGAATCGCAACAGGCTGTGGCGATTGTCTGGCGAGTGCTTGCTAGAGATGTCCCCCGGATGCAGTACTGACATTGCCAAGGTCTTAAGCACGAATACTGATCCAAGTATCTTGCTGAACAGGCGCGGGCATCTGGATGCGGCAACTTGGTCTCTGCAAGCTGTATTTCTTGGTGTCCGCTGCGTCATGCCATGCCCACCAACCCTTCATGGACCCTCACTCAGAAGACCAGATGTTTGGGACAGTGAAATTGGCTTGCCTGCATAGTGCGTGAGCCTCGTGACGCGTGTGCCGACGTGAGAAAATCCGAAAAAGCTTGTCAGTTGCGGGCATCTGGACAGTGACAAGGTCCAGTGCCTGTCGGCAGACTGGGAGACAAATGTTGCTTTGTCGGCGAGCCTGGATCAAACGCTCGTGTGGCCTGGCTGGACCATAGCTTTTGCCATGTGCACGCACCGATGTCAAAGAAGGGCGAGCCCGCTCATGTACTTGTAGTTCACAGTACCAAGCCGTTGACACACGCAAGTATTCTCGTGCGGAAAGCAGGATACTAGTGAGCGTTTTTTGTGATATCAGTTGTTGCACACCTTGCGACATGCGCCTAGCGGTTCGGATGTGAATGCTGTCTGCCAGCATTTTGTCAATGAGCCGTTGAAAAGAAACTGTCAAGCTGCATGGGCTGGCCTCGGGGCCGACGAGAAACGAAGCCAGCTAGTTCCATTCCACATTGTAGAGCTATCCACACACTTCGTCGGGTGTCCCAATGCATTCTTATGTCGTACCAGGTCGTACCACTAGCAGAATCAACAGGTCAACCTGACGGAGAAATTCAAGAGGAATCCAACGAAGCCGCTCCCACTCCGATCCTGCCCAAGCCTCTCAGAAACGAGGTTTTGGGATCTGGACACTGGCGAGATCTTGCAGGAATTGATGGAGACTCAGCTTGCAATCGCGGAAGGAAGCGCTTTCTTCCGCCCTAGCTTACGCCTCGTCCTGACTTTGGATTGCTCGAAGATCACGAGCTGAGAGTTTCGTTGTGCACCACTGTTTGCAGCGAGGACCATGCAAGCCCTGCTGTCAGCCTTGATGTGGATTGGGTCGGCCGACAGGTTCCACCGTGAAGACAGCGAGAGCATGAGCATGGAACGAGTCAAATCTTGTAGGGTTTGTTCGGTAAATGTTTTGACGCACACGGCGGCGTGCTAGACTTTGAGAATGTCTAGTCGCCCATGTAGCTCGCACCCACAGGCGCTGGCCGGTGCTATGGACGGATCCTTGCAGCTTTGGGACGGCTGGTTCGAAATCCAAGTGCACATAGCTCGGTGGGGAAGCTAAGCTACATGTTGCAGACATGGGTGGCGAGCACATACTGTATAATGCAGAAATCAAGCCAGGATGCAGCTTTCAGAAACAGAAAGATGAACCAGTGCAGCGCAGCCGTGGGATGAACCGGATTCGGTGTTCCGCCCGGACCACAGGACCTGCGAAGCACAGCTGCTGAACGCCGGAACAGCCACCAAGCAGAGCTGCGCTTCCTGCGAGCAGCACAAGCTGCACACATCCTTGCCTACATGCATACATGCATACTTACCTACCTACCGATCGACCGGCATACCTACCTACCGATCGACCGGCATACGTATTTATCTACTTACCTACCTCCTACCTTCCTGCTGCCTACCGACCGACCCCCTACCTGTCTACTCGCCCGCTACCTACCAGCTCGCTATCTGCTAGCAACCTAGCAGCCGAACTACTTGCCTGCGCCTGCCTGCAACGAACCTACCTGCCTGCCTACCTGGCCTACTTGACCCACCTGCCCAACCTACCTCCTACCTCCCTACTTACCTACTACCTACCACCCACCGACCTACATACTACCTGCCTTCTGCCTAGGCTGCCTATCTCCTCCTGCCTACCTACCTACCTACCTACCTACCTACCTACCAACCTACCTACCTATCGACCTACCTACCTACCTACCTGCCTGCCTACCTACCTATACCTACCTACCTACCTACCTACCTACCT